AGATCTATTAAGAGTATTTACATCAATAGAAGGGGCATAAATATTATGCTCACCGCAACCTGTAATTTCCCTGAAAAGCTTACACATGTTACCCGGAGTTTTACAAGACAATATTCTTTGTCTATAAGTATAATTTAGCGTCACTAATAAACACTAAACCCAGTGTTTTATCAAGTCGAGTAGGAAATTTAGCAATATTGACATTACCTAATGATTCAAGATAAGAAACATCGCAGAAATTGAAATCTCCTGTGACAATTGATAAAGAGTTTTCGAGGCGTGTGACGGCGAAATCAGATAGATCCTAGGCGGGACAGCCAGGAGTAATATAAGTGTTCGAGATGAAGGCGTATTTAAATTTTGATAAGTTTCGGACGAACATTTGACTGCTGTACAATCAATAAAGTCACTAGAGAAAAAACATACGTTATTTGAAGGGGACCATTTAGAATGAATGAAAGTTGCAGCACCTCCACCTCTTTTCTTTCTGGAGCATAGCCGATCTTGTCTAAACAATATAAAACCATTTAGAGAAACCAGGTTGTCATCATAAAGTTCATGGAGCCATGTTTCTTGTAATGTAACTATCGCCGTACTGTGATAAGTATCAGATGATAAGAGAGACTGGAGATGCATAATTTTGTTGGGAAGTGAACGGCGGTTTGGACTGACAATAACAGGAGTAGGTGTGCGATATAAAGTTGTCTGTTTGAGAGCACGTTGCCAACCACCGTGATGTTTTCTCTTAGTCTTATTAGATGAATGAAAGTCATATGGTTTGAAACGTTTAATGAATCCATTACTATATTTGATACGATTTGTGATCATATTTTGTTAGCATCAAAAATGAAAACATGATATTATTAATACTATTGTCCCCTTGGGTTCCTAGTGGAACATAGGGCTTCACCTGAACGTCTCCACTTCCTTCTGTCTTCTGCTGTGCTTTTCACCTGCATCCATGTTAGCCCATACTCTTTCAACTCCTCTTCACACGATCTCCTCCATGTCATTCTTGCACTGACGTCCAACTCGCCGCTTCCCCTTCGGGTTCCACTCGAGCAGTGGCCTGACGCGCGCGCGATTTCACCCAGCAGCGGCCTCCTCAGCCAGTGTCCAATCCATCTCCACCTTCTCCTGCATATTTGTTGAGCGATTGGTTCTTGTTTTGTTTCTTCCCATAGTATCTTGTTGGTGATTCTTTCCGGCACGGCCATCTGATCTTCAGTATAGAGCCAGCGAAGACAGTTGTTGATAAAGGTCTGCAACAGGCTGTTGGAAATATTCTTTGTGACCCGCCCGCCAAGTTTCTGATCCGTATACAAGAACTGACTGACTTGACGTTTGTATTGAAAATCCGACCGAATTTTGTTGTTGATTCTGGCTGAGTGACGAAGATTTCCGGATTGGTTTCAGGTTGGTGAATGTGTTTCTCGCCTTCCCGATTCTCGATTTGACATCCTCGTCCGTTCCGACTGCCTGTAGTTGAGACAATGCTCCCTAGATAAGTGAATGAAGTAATCTCTTTCAAATCCCTCCCGTTGATGGTGATCGGGGCTGGATGTTGTTGCTGTTGTTGTTATTGTTGGCTGGTTATTTTCATAACCTCCGTCTTGTCTATGTTCACCTGCAGTCCTGTCTTCGCCGGCTGCTTCTCCGACCAGTTTGTCGGTTTTCGCTTGTAAGTCTTCGATTGTGTGTGACATCAAACATAATTCATCCGCGAAATCCAGGTCTTCTAGGTTCTTCACGTCGGTCCAGGATATCCCTGTCTTCTCGTTTCCCACTGTCTGACGCATAATCCAGTCAGTCCACCACAATTAGGAATATCATTGGTGATAGTAAGCACCCTTGTCTGACTCCTGTGTTTACTCCAAACGCCTTGCTGAGTTTTCCGTTGTGGATCACTTGGCAGGTGCCGTTGTAGTACAGCTGTTGAATAAGGTTGATGAATATTTGGGGTACGCCATAGTACTCGAGTAATTTCCAAATTACTTCACGATCAACGCTATCAAAGGCCTTCTCAAAGTCTATAAAGTTGACGTAGAGGTTTGATTGCCATTCCATGCTTTGTTCGATGATGATGCGTAGAGTTGCAATTTGGTCAGTACATGACTTGCCTTTCCTGAATCCAGCTTGTTCTGGTCGGAGTTCTGTCTCCAGTGCGTCATTTAATCTCTCCAGGATGATGCGAATCAGGATTTTACTTGGCGTCGATAGGAGCATGATTCCTCGCTAGTTCTTGCAGAGTGAGGCGTAAGTCGCCCTTCTTTGATAGTTTCACGAGGTAACTTTTCCTCCAGTCAGTAGGCACCTTTCCCTCCTTCCAGACCTTTTGCAACAATAGAGTCAGTATATCTGCTGTAGTCCCTGGGTTCGCTTTCAGTGCTTCAAAAGACATGATGCGTTAGGTTCAATATGAAGATGTACGTAAAGGTAACCGAGGTATCAAACAGGCCGACAAAGTTGTGTTTCGAAACTAGTTGATAAATATTCTGTATTGATTAGGGTCACCACCATAAAACATAACATAGACCCTTAGCGTGCACATATTTCTGACAATGTAGCTAGGAGATTCCTTCAAGCCTGACACAAACTCGTCTCGCAGTCTTACTGATAAGCTCAGAACTGAACTGTGTGAAATCCTCCTTTACTTCTATGTTTCTGGTTAGTTAATTCCCATATGGTTAACTAGGTGAAAAAGCCGTATCTGTATAACGGATACTCCAAAAACCATGCGGACGAACACAGGCATCTTTAACCCTCACTTCATCAATGGTTTTAGTCGAAGAATTGAGTGAGACGAAATCGTCTGGCAGGAGTTTGTCCGATTATCACTCCGTTATGCGTCATCCGGGAGTGTGGTGGAATACTGTTCCTTCGGAAGAACATTCCAGCTTAATAATACAAAATAATCCAGAAGAATTCTTCGATTGCCCAAGTGAAGTTGCAGGAATCTTAGAGTGGTATCAATCAAAATGAAGAAATCAACGGTCTAACAGATTAGATAATAACAGATTGACTGCTTAGCCAAACTGATTTGGGGAACATTGTTACAGACACCTCAAGAACAGCATTTCGAATAGACGCACTCACATTCTTCGGCCAAAATCCAAAACGAAACCAAATGTTTACAAATAGACTTGACCCAATCAAAATCTAAACCAAATGGTAAAGAATAAGATTGTATCGAAAACATGCTGTTGAAAGAATTCGGGATGATTGTTGTATTGAACATAACGCATTAGATAGGCATGGTAAAAATTTCGAATATGGGTTTGTTGGGTATCGGAACACCAAGAACACAATTTCTGAGCACAGAATCACTCACAGTCAACAAAAATGTGCTTTCAAGCAGAAATGTACAACGGTCAAATGAACCCAAAACTGCACAATTAACAAAAAGTTTATCATCCGACATGGTGAAAAATGGAGTCAATAAACGTAATAGGCATTAAGAAGCAACAATAATATATATAATTGATGTGGATTATTTGGTGTATAATAGGACATAAAGAAATTCAATAAGTGTATATAAAAAAATAAGGAAAAATAATGATACCAAAATAAGTGCTTTGATAGCTAGAGTATCAGGAGAGTGAGACAAAAGAGGATGAACGTTTTAGTTCTCCTGACATATATTCTAATGAAAATGTCTAGTGCGTCGGTGGTACAGTGGCTAGGACTCTCGCCAACCATGGACATGGTCCGGGGTTCGATCACCTGCCGACACAGACCTGAAATCTATGGTCGGCCAACAAAATTTGGGCTATCGATATCACATGCTAAAAATTCCATACCTGTACAGTGTGGAATCAACCCGTAATCAAATTAAAAACAAAAAAAATAAAATACATATCGAAGAATAATCCAAAGGTATTCTACGAAAATATAAACCAAATTGCAGAAATTGTATGTTAGGCCACAAAAGTGGGAAAACTTGGTTTTCTGTCAACCCGAACTGGAAATAGTGAGTGCTCGGCAGAACCGATCTCAGAAATTAAACGTTAGGGTGCCGCGCAGATCACTCTTGAGGATAGAAACTTGTAGTGGACCAAATGGTCAAGTTCGTTTGTACGCCAAATAAAAAGGACAAAACAAACATATATATGTAGAAGGGTATTCAGTCCACATAAATTATTGCACACATAAAATGCAGTTATTCCAAAAGTTACAGTTGTCCCAAAATACTCAAATATAGACGTACAGAATGATAGGGATGGAACAGTCCTAATCTCGGGTATACGGATGCTCACTACACGTAAGTCATGCCAAAGGCCGGAGGGCACTAACGGAGAGAAAAGTGGATTTGAGCGAAAGATCCTAATTTGGATGTGCTGATCAGGTACGAGGCAGAGTTGGCTGGCAGATGTGGTAAGCGAGAAGCTTGAGAGGAGGTGGGGATATACTTTATCGCGCTTTAAATTTATCTCGGTGAATGGTGAACGTACAATTTGATATTTTCCGGCCATCACAGACCAAACCGAAATAAATCCAAAGTGTCAGAAATAAACCCGACCAAATCCGAAATTGGCTAGATGGCTGCAAATGGAATCATACTGGTAACAAAATGTTGAAGAACTGCAAGATAATCGTTCTTCACACATGAGGTTATCCGGTTTCCAAACAAAAATAGTACGGTAGTGGATTCCAGAATTACTTTGCAGATTATAAAATGTCATTTCAAACAAGAAATATGCGAGGGTCCAGTGCAGCACAAACGGTATAATTAACACAAGATACGAAATGGTTCATGAAATAAAACTTTAGTGTTTAAAGCTGGAAACACTAGACCTAACAGGCAGAATGCCTTTGTTTGCAGGATTCCGGTGAGCTGTAATACTGTAAGTGGTGATTCCGTTGTCTTTAGGCCGACGATAGCTAGGAGTGAAAAGACTCAGTTTCTTCAGCCTTTCATCATATAATTTTCTCCGGAGACCGATCACGTCTTTCGTCCTTGAACCCCTTTCAAAAAATTGTGTCTGCCGAAGTGGCCGAGGCAAATTGATAAGAATGACCGGGTAAAAACTATCTCTTCATCGAGAATCAAGAGAAAAGAAATCAAATTCCTTCCATTGCTTCATGATAAGGATGTTGGACATTGGAATCTTACACTAAAAATTTGAGTTGGTTACCGTTGGTGTTGCTTATTCGCGACTATTTGAAATATGGAAATTAGCTATGTGTACGCCAAAAGGCGATCGGAATTCGGAAGACAGTGCAACTTCAGTGACAAAAATGCAGAACTGTTAGTTGAAATACTGCCAGATGTTGACGTGTCACATAAGTTTGTCGAAATGAATCCTATCGACAAGGGTGTTCAGTCATCGCAAGAAATGTCTGAACACGAAGCCAACACTGAAAGATATCGTTCGGAATCTCGAGGGATGAACCATACAGAAGGTGGTTGGCCAAAGGATGTCAATGCACAGGAACCTGACCAGGTTATAAGGTATCGGAAGAAGGTTGAAAAAGATGAGTTGTATATTGCAACTGTTCATAAACTTGGAAACGTAAGTCTCACATTATGGTGACAGTATCGTAGATTATGGAGCACTGCATTAAGCAAAACAATGCACTGAATATTTATGAAAATTATTTCGAAGATTTCGATGTGAACACTTCCGAAGACCCTCCATCCGCTAAGACTATAACCGTTTTAAAGTGAGATGATGGTTTATGTAAAGCCTTTTCAATCTAGAGATATGAACGACCCAAAAAGAAGCATTGCACACATATCTTGGTATCCTGACGGTCCGACAAAGTTGGCTGTCGCCTACTGCAACACTGAATTTAAGTCAGTTTCTGGAAGCACCTCGAACGAGTCATACATATGGGACGTCAACAATCCCAACAGACCTGAACTTACACTTAAAACAGCCTCTCCGCTGGTCTGCATTGAGTATAACCCTAAAGACTCCCACACACTAATTGGTGGCTGTTATAACGGACAACTTTGTAAGTAGCCAATCGAATTTTAATTTCTCTTACCCTCTAGCATTGTGGGATAGACGCAGGGGCTCCAACCCTGTTGAAGTCTCACCGATTGAACATAGTCACAGAGATCCCGCCTGGAAAGTGATTTGGATACAATCTAAAACTGGAACTGAATGCTTTTCTACGGGTACTGATGGTCAAGTTTTCTGGTGGGATGTCAGGAAAATGTCTGAACCCATGGAGTTTCTTTATCTCGATCCCACGAAGAAACAAGACTTTTCGTGTGCCCAAGGAGCTTATGTATTGGAGTACGAGTCCACCATACCCACAAAGTTCATGGCTGGTACTGAACAAGTAAGTCACTAGGTTTTGGGTACGTTCGTTATTATTTCCATCCCATTCTGATTCTGGCACTCCAGGTAGCCAAAGAAAGTTCGGTGCTTCTGATTTATCTCATGTGTTTCAGTTGTAAATTTGCCTCAGAATAAATGATCAGAATATTTTACACAAAATACTGAGGAAACGAATTACAGTATTATTTATGAATTTAAACAAGCATTCTCAATATATCAACTTAAGGGAAACCTTTCCGCTCTCGTAAGAATCTGCTATGACTGGCCGATTGGCCACATTTAGTTACGTTTGCGGCATCCAACAGAGCTGTTATAATGTCAACACGACCTCATAGGGCGGCTGACTTCCATATACTTCTCGTGTTAATGGAACATTAAGTCGAAAAACCCATGGTTCATATCGAGACCATTAAATTCAGTCTCCCAAGGTGACATCATTTATTGAAAGTCGATCTTTAGCGTCTGCATGGTTAGAACCTTTTCATACAGTATGGCAACGCCGCTGCATACTGGGAGATAGGAATTCACTTGTAGAACAGCAGCCAATCATATGTAACCTCAGTACTGTTTGAGGACAATACAGAATGGTTTTTTTCTGTCTCCCCCTTTCTCTCTCTAGTGTACTATTTGTGCATAGTTTCGTTTCATATTAGTGACCACCTGTTGTGGTTAATGGGAGAGGGTGCAAATTAACTATCTTGATGTTGCGTATTTTTCTAAGGTTTGCTGCCCTAAAATATGCGCTATCCAATTCTTCTGACATCCACTACTTTTTAGTAAACCTTGATGTTACCTACTAGTCAGTACTCACTATCACAGAATCTTACTCATTCGTCAGTATTGGAGTTGGATGTTGAATATGATGAGGGGAGTTTATTAGGACTAGACTAAATAAAGCCAATAGTTTTCACACTTGTCACCAAGCATTCGAAGACTTTCAGTGGAGTATTTCTGAAGCAAAATAACTGTGCTAACCAAATGCAGAGTTTAACGCCGGTAATTTATGAAGCCGTAGATCGGTTTTCAAATTATCCACTTGTGAATTTGAATATATAGAGAGCACGGCTATCAATTCCAATTATCTTCAGAAGAATTTTGAAGTGTCGCTTTATTGCATATGGTAAATTTATGTTTGTCATCTGAATAACCTGTAAGATGGAATGTCAATCAATTTAACATAAAATCGTCAGAATCATGTGAAAATTTCTAGAAATCCTGTGTATAGCAAATATAAGTCTGGTGATATATTCAAATTTTAGATTACTTGTGTTGCTTTACAGCTTCAACTCTCCAGTTACAAGTTGTTAGCATTAATTCTAGGTTATGGATGGTTGTTTGTTGCGACTGATGTGTTTTTACTCATTAAAAGGGAGAAGACTGACTCTAAGTACTTCCCGTCAACTGCCTCTTGTCAGTTAAAATCAAATACTTTATGCGACTTTTCACATCATGCTGTGTCTACAACTTTTTGTGGGAGTATATCAGTATAAAGGAAATGTGTTCTATCCTTGGAAAGAATGTGTTCTCAAATAGCTATGAAATTGTTTTGTTATTCTCTTAGTGTTGACTGTCAGTGGAATGAAGTCCTATGTACCAGTACTTGATGGTGGTCGCATTGAGACTCAAATCCATTGTTTGTTTAATCCAAGTGGGCAAAACTGGAAAATAGATACATCAACATCCAGTCGTAAGCGCTTATTTATGATTGGTTACCAACTGAATACACAATTTTAGTCGGAGATGAAGATTGTGCTGTTCGGAGTTAATCCCACACATTTAAAGTTGTTTATGAGGCAAATAGTGTATTTCTTCCCTTATCTAACTTTGAATACTTGGCCTAAGATAACTAGTAGCAGTGTGACATCACCTCACACCACTCGTATTTTGAATACCGTAATTAAAAACGCAAGTTTACTTGATCATTGCTCTCTATCAATAAAACCCATGTTACTCACTCTGTCTTGCAAAATCCGGAGTCTCCCAGACCAATCTTAATCCAGATTTGATTATTTCAAATGCTCAAACATCATTCATTGAGCTACTTAACAAAAATGAACTGCATCACTTTAAGGGGATACAAAGTAAGAAATTAACATCCAACACAGGTACCTCACCATCATATCACTCCTCTTATGGGTCATAATTTTGTGTGTCCCTCACAGGTAGCCTATTACTAGAAGTACAGTACGGTTATCCAAAGCTTTGAAAGGTAGATTCATTTTATAATCGTGGTCCCAAGAAATTTAAAAATACTCCACAAAACGAACTTCTGTTATGATTCGATTAAGCTAAAATCTTGCGGTTAAGATTTAACCGGTAAATGATTGGGTTTTATTAATTTGGATTGCTAACAAAGAGTCTATAAAGTGCATCTTGTGTCACCTGTGTGCTAGCTGTGGTTTTCAATAATCAGTAAAGAGACTAACTTGACTTTGAGAAATGAACCCAGCTGTTTATCGACTGCTATGTACCATTTGCAAACTATCAGTTTATGTTTACTGAACACTTTACAGTCCCACATCTTTCACTTAGGTTCAGATTGTTTCATAAGTTAAAACAAAGTGGATCGTTTTACTCTGATGCTTGAAAATGTGTCAGTTTCCGGCAGTAATACAGATGCAAGTTAATAAAAAGAAAAAGGTTTAATGAAAGAAACGTTTCTGGCTTTCAGGGGATTATCATCTCTTGTAACCGGAAAGGCAAGACACCTGCAGAAAAAATTGTTGCTGCCTATCCTGGACACATTGGACCAGTTTACGCATTGCAGAGAAATCCATTTTTCCCAAAGAACTTCCTTAGTATTGGTGACTGGACTGCTCGAATATGGTCGGAGGATATTCGAGATTCTGCTATAATGTGGACGGCCAACCATGACTATGGTCTTTCTGATGGATGTTGGAGTCCTGTTCGACCAGCTGTATTTTTCACTACTTGTCTGGACGGAACGTTAAGCGTTTGGGACATTATATTCAAGCAAGAAGCACCGGCTCTCAATATTCAGGTACGTTGATTTTTAATTCTGGTTAAAAATATGTGAATAATGTTCTGTAAATGAAAATTTCAGCAGCTGAAACTATCCAATAGTCAATAAGGCTAAAATTAACAGTCTGAGAATAAATAAACTAGTGACATTTTTTGCTCACTCACTGCTAACTTCATTTCACTCGATTCCTATCCCACTCATAGAAACAAACAATGTTATCGGTGTTAGCACATTAGTTGCTGCTACAGACACAAATTCAAGATGTTGTTGACTAACTTTCATGTTTTATTCTTTTTCGATTAAAACTAAGCGGTGCTAATAACGTTTAAGATGTAAAACTTGTAGTCCTCCCACATTTCCAGACTTTATTTAGCAAACTATGATTATGTGTCTCTCACTTCCCTTCTTCTTCATCTCTATTCCTTATAACAAATCTAATGATTTGAGGTCTGCTAAACTAGACTACTGCGTAGTAGTTATCGATTATTTATTTAAAGATAAACTTGGAACCACATAAGTACAAAGTGATGCGCCACACAAAATACTGGAGCACCGATATAGGCGAAAATATATTGAAACAATTGGGGAGTAAAAGAAAGAAACATCCAGGCATACTTATCTACTGAATTTAAAGGGGTGTTCAAAATTGCATACCATTTTCTGTAGAGTAAGAAGGTGGAAAACTGGAGCGTATTCGTCACCAATTCTGATGACAACTCCTATGTGACTTGTCGGAGTTCGTCCATACGATTGCGAGTGAATGAACGATTGCAGATGTCCACTTCAAATAACTGAACTGCGGATATGAAAACTGACTTAGGAAATTCGGAAAATCATGACTGTCCATCATAGAGTAAATTTATTTGACAGAAGCACTCAGTGATACAGTACTATTTATTATTATTTATATGTCAGTAAATGATACTGTATCACTGAGTGCTCTGTGATGGAATTACACTCTAACATAGTGCTCACGTTCTATTCTTATAAACAATGGCTGTCAACTTTTGGCATATATCGGCTTCAGAATCTTCAAATAACCGAATGGGAGACGAACCTATTTTGACCATCATGAATTACGAGTACTCAGATCCTCACTTCGCTCCACTAATTTAGATACGGGAACCGGTTTCCTAATACAATTATCTGCCTTGATTTGCTCAAATGGGCAGTATCTGTATCCTCGCAAAATATGGCGCGACATTTCAATGAAAGGTTTTTAAAGGTTGACGGATATTAAAGGTTTGACGTGATATCTCGTTCAACAACTTCTAATTAATTTATTCTCGCGTACCAAAGACAAAGCAAAAGCCAATAATTGATCGTCCAAACCAAGAGATGTATTTACGAACCAAAACCAGCCGTTAGACGAACGCTTAGCTAGCTAGTGATCGTGCACGTTACACGACGGGTACCAAATGGCGGGGATGCTTGACCGGAAGCCTTCAGCTAAACAAGTCGACTTAAACAGTGGTGGTCAGCATCCAATGAGTGATTGCTGTGGTCAATAATTTTGGGGAATTATTTACCGCTACAGCTCACTCCCCCCTAGTGGGGTCGTGAGGACCCTAAGACAGAACCAGCCGGAAGTAAAAAAACTCGATGGTTCCCTTTCGGGTGAAAAAAATCTTCCGAGCGGCTTGGTCTTATGCCTACTGGTTTGTCTGCCTATGCTAATGGGGTGTTTGTACATAGCTTCCTGGTGTTGTTCGTTGGATTCCGTGCTTCGTTTGTTTCCCGTCCAGTGCCCGTCGCACCTGGAAAAGAAAACAAGAACGCTAAGAACCATGTCGAGGAAAATGTACGAAATGAGCTTTTTGGTTAAAAAAAATTGTGTGCATTTACTATACAGTAAAATAATGCTAAGTTCAGAACATCGAAAAAAAATACATCTAATTAATTTTTTTGTGTATGTTACATGAACTGTTGAGAAAAAAATTTTTTGTGTTCGGTGGTACTGTATATAAAAAAAATTATACGTCAAAAAAAATAGTTAGTACCACAAACGAGTGAGTTGCGTGAATCACACGACTTCGTTAAGTCAAATAAGTGTGCAAATGTTCTGGGAACCTTACGGTGCGTCCAGAACGGTTTTTCTTAGGAGGCTCAACCTTAGTAGCCAGTGGGCGAATGCCCTTGCAGTCAATAGTGTGACCCAGGAAGTCGAGTGAGTCAACACCGATTTGACACTTTTGAATATTGATGGTAACACCATGTTGGCGTAACCTGTCAAATGCCAAGTCCAAGTGCCTAAGGTGAGTTTCCTTGTCTGGACTGGCAATGAGGCAGTCGTCTAAGTATGCGTATACAAAGTCGAGACCGCGAAATACTTCGTCAATGAAGCGTTGGAATGTTTGGGCTGCATTCCGGAGACCGAATGGCATACGTAGAAATTCAAAAAGTCCGAAAGGCGTAATGATAGCCGTTTTCGGGATGTCTTCTGTTGCCATCGGGATTTGGTTATACGCTTTAACCAAGTCGATTTTGGAGAATATAGTCGCGCCGGATAAGGTTGCCGTCAAGTCGTGTATATGAGGCAACGGGTAGCAATCAGGGGTTGTTTTGGCATTCACTCGCCGGTAATCACCGGTGGGTCGCCAATCGTTGCTATCCTTTTTCGGAACCATATGAAGTGGGGATGCCCATGGGCTATTCGAAGGTCGAATGATGCCAAGGCTAAGCATATGGTCAAATTCATTCCTGGCGATTCTCAGTTTGTCAGGAGCTAATCGTCGTGCTTTAGATGTCACAGGTTGTCCTGTGGTAATGATGTGGTGCATAACATTGCTGGTTATGCACGGTAGGTCGTTCGACGGGCAATTAAGTTCCGGATACTTGTCAACAATAGGTTGAAAAGTTGGATCAAGAATTGCCTTTATCTTAACGGGTGACAAGCTAGGGCCTATGTAGGTAATGCCTTTGATAGACAGACTAGTAGTATTGTCAATCAGTCGTTTTCGGCGGACGTCTACGAGTAAATCATGATGATTAAGTAGGTCCGTGCCAATGATGGGCATTGTAACGTCAGCGAGAAGGAAAATCCACCGAATAGGTTTGCGTAAACCTACGTTCAGATAGACGTATTTCCTACCAAAGGTTGCGATTGGTTTTCCATTTGCAGCCTGTAAGTTGAAGGTAGGTTCCTTCTGTCGATCTGCTGCTGTAGCAGGAAGGACGCTGACTTCGGCGCCTGTGTCGACTAAGTATCGAGTCTGGCTTATCACATCATGGATGTAAAGTAGGCGGCTAGTGCCACCGGCGACGGTTGCCGCTAACGCGTGCCGGCGGGATAGTTTCCCACAGACTTTGAGACATTTCCGAAGTTACAAGGCTTACGGCAACACTTCGCTTCTTGGCCATAGGTGTTGTGGTACCAGCACCAGTCAGGGTTTTTCAGTGAACGTGGTTTGGACTTAGATCGACCACGTGAGTTCCTGCGTTGAGGAGATTTAGGACGACGGTCGGAGGATTTAGAATGCATGTTTGACCTAAACATCTGCTGAAGGGAGTTGCATAACTCTATCATTGCAGGATCCTCACTCGAAGTCTGCTTAGTCATTGAGCATATTTCGGGAACAGACCGTTTAGTTATTTCTAGAATCCTATCTGCAGTAATAGCTAAGTTCTCTATTACAGTACCCTCAAGTGTCACAAGTACGGTCTGTACAGATTGTGGCAACTTGGTTAAGAAGAGTTCTCTAAACAGTCCTTCGTCGAACTGACTTTGGCCGACGACTTGTTTCATTCTTGTCAGCATGCTCACGGCTGACTGATCTCCTAACTCGATGTTGCGAAATAATTCATCTAGACGTTGTCTGTCCGTGAGAACGTTTCTCCTGAGGAGGGATGCTTTCAGCAACTCGTACGAGTTACTTACCTCGGGACTCAACATCTGTGATGTTACGTACTTGCTGAATTCCCGCGGTAGGGCGTGAATAACTGCAAGTAACTGTGAACGTTGATCGGTTATCCCATGCTCACAAAAATCTGCTTCAGCTAGCAGAAACCACGTTTCAGCATTATCTGGCCAGTATGGTACGAGCTGAATGGTTTTAGGAGTTGAGCGGATACGGATGACCTTGGGACTAAGATCACTCATGACGAAAATTATATCGAATAATATATGGTACAAGAACAAATACAAAATGGAACGAACTCACCGGGGTTATCTGCGGATTTTTCGTGGATAAAGTTCACGGTTGGGCTCACCAGTTTAAGGGTGGCACAGTGGTTAGGACTCTCGCTGACCATGCACATGGTCCGAGGTTCGAGCCCACGCCGACGCACACCTGATATCTATGGTCGGCCTGCGAATTTTGGGCTACCGATATCCACGCTGAAAATTCCACACTTGTACCAAAAATACGGTGTGGAATCAAGCTGTAACTAAAAATAAAAAATAAAAATAAATAAAATAAATAAATAAATAAGGGTTGACGGATATTAAAGGTTTGACGTGATATCTCGTTCAACAACTTCTAATTAATTTATTCTCGCGTACCAAAGACAAAGCAAAAGCCAGTAATTGATCGTCCAAACCAAGGGATGTATTTACGAACCAGAACAAGCCGTTAGACGAACGCTTAGCTAGCTAGTGATCGTGCACGTTACACGACAGGGTACCAAATGGCGGGGATGCTTGACCGGAAGCCTTCAGCTAAACAAGTCGACTTAAACAGTGGTGGTCAGCATCCAATGAGTGATTGCTGTGGTCAATAATTTTGGGGAATTATTTACCGCTACAGGTTCAACTCATCTTAATGCTCATCCAACCTATTATTCCTGCCGAAAAATCAGTGATACATCCAGCCATTTGATTTATTATCACTATATTACCATTCTCATATATGAACTGTGTCGTTTGATCTTTATCACACATACGTTTGTTGTCATATTTATTTTTATGAGATCTTCGTTGTTATTTCATACCTTAGTTTATTTGTGCTGTTCTGATTCTCTAAATAATCGCTTTCAGGATTCTGACCTCCAGAGACATTACCTTAGTAGGCCATAATGATACAATTCGTGACGTTTAAGTTTACATGTTAATGGAATCAGAAGAAGCACAGGTTTGGCGAAAATCTTCGAAAGCATCGTGATTGGAGTAGGCTGCATCAAAGAAATCTATATACATGATCCCTGTGGGGTGCTCCGAATAATTTCCCCACGTATTAACTGAAACTGCAAGTTTTGTGTGAGTTTATTCGGATACCTAGTATCATCGGTGTTGCTGTTACGCCAAGTGTTATGGCCGATGCTTATTTTTAGTGGACACCAATTTCTTGGCGTCTGTCACTCAAGCCTGGACTCAGACAGACCAAACCGGTATCAGCTAGGATAACTAACAGAACTATCCCTCTTTCTGAAACAGTTTTTCTGATCATGGTCTAACGTGTATTGGTGTTTTCTGAGACTTCATGCTGATCGTAAGCGTCATCCTAACCAGATTGACGCGGGAATACCGTTTTTAATGGCTACTGCAGTTAAATATCAAATCCGGCAGATTTGTGTTTAGCTAGTGACCATCTATATATTATAGACGAACACTGGTTATATTGACGGTAGGCAATGAAGTTGACGAGTAAAGTGGCTATCAGCCTAGGAGAATGTCCTTCAAAAGGCACTTGATTACTGTGTGAGTTCTCAGCAGCTTGTAGCGATCTGAATAGTTTGAGTTTCCAAGGATAACTGTGTAATTTACAAATATCGCATCTGATTTCGCGTTTTTTTCTTGATGTAAGACTGAAATTCGATTCAGCTGATGTACTAAGCAATTCACACAGCTACAATATGTTTCATAGATAGCTATATCCACATAGTACTAGCCAATCATTCTAATATTCAGACAGCTAAGGTAACCCGCATTTATTTTAGTCAGTAGACATTCGTCGATTCATAACTTCACTTTCATAATTTTGTTGGCTGATAATCATGGTAAATTATCAGTGGGACCTATATTTCATAAAACACTATTGAGTCTATTCCTAGCATGCTTGCATTTACCATCCACATCTAATTGTTCCGCATTCTATTTCACTAATGTCTTTAATTCTTGTCTTGAAAACACAATTTCATTCAGAGAGTACTACTCGGGATATGCCGGAATTGAATTCTCTTGTACACTTTTTGAGTGTTTTATCGTGAAGATAATTCTATTCATTTTACATATTTTTATCGAATTCTCATTTGTATCTTTTCTTTTGTTTATTTCCTTTTGTTATTATATTGATGGGTATGACAATTTTGATGTTTATTTCTACGCGTAGCCACATATGCTCTTGCTAACATCTGACTTTTGAGTAGACGAGCAAACAGATATGAATTCGACACAACTTAATAGTATATGTTTTTGACTGAAACTATCCCAACAGTTAGGCTGTAACAGACCGCAAGATCACAACCAGTAAAACAGAAGAAGTAATAGAAGAAGTTGGAAAACTCATGACTGTTAATTTTAGGCAAGATCTAATGAGAATAGACGAGATTGACTTTAATAGAACCTTGGTCTTGGTGAATAAAATATTTATAAAAGCGTAGAGACAAAGTCAAATGAGGCAAACGACACTAATTCCCTATCAAGGCAACAAAATTTTAAGTAACAAAAATAAGGTGTTCGAAAAAAGTGATAATGTTCATTCCAATGAGAGTTCTTTCTTGAGTATAGTATAGGGAAACAACTGTAAAAAGATAATTAGTATTTGTCGAGTTCATTTATACACTGGCAGTGCTAATTCTCTCCTCATTGTATCCTAAGGTGAACTTGTAGCATTTCACTTCTTATCTCATCTCAAATGACAGATTTGTGACGAACCGCTTCATTGCCTCAGAGTTCAAGAACAAGGTCGACTTATTGCAACAGGATCGCACAGTGGAGTATGCACAGTTCTGGAACTCTCTGAAGGATTTTGTACCCAATCGAAAAACGAAAAAGCTTTAATAACCTCTATGTTTGAGAGAGAAACTCACCGTGAAAAAATTCTGGATGCAAGACATCGGGAGATAAAACTACGTAAACAAAAACTCCAAGGGGCAGTAAGTCAGTATTAAAAATGTTTTCATACTACCTTGATTATGGCTAGTGAGCACCACTCTTTGATGTGTATATTTTCTGACTGTTCATAGAAGTCAAAAAACTGTTATGCAGCCTATCATGATATTGGTATTTAGAAGTGAAACTAAGTGCAGAACAGTTGGTAACCTCTCAGACTGAAATCAGTTGAATCAACTCTTGTTGTAATATAATAATGATTGTATATATTTGAACTCAAAACTCTGACGGGTTTTGTGTGACGGCCATTTCATTTGGGTAATTTCAAGGATATCAATCTAACCCTAGGTTCATAAGACCTCTTATCAACAGGATGAGCCTCAGAGTTACTTAGAAATTTCATGCAATAGGTTTGCTTACTGAATAATAGACGCACTTATGTCTATGAGTAGTTCTCAGTGAGCTTCAAAACAAATAAACGCCTTCTATTAAAGGAATTCTAACTTACATTCACATTTTCGAACGCGCCAAGAAGAGATGTTACACATAATATGATGCAAAATACAATTTTAGTTTAATGTCTTAAGGAAAGGAAAGAGAACAGTCAGGAGAGTGAGGGAAAGTGCAGTCATTCAATTTTACCATTAATCCTATTTGTCCAATTATTCATCATATCATTTCTCAATAAAACGTCTGACATACTTTAATTTATTTGATAGAAATCAGTTATGTCATAGTGAATACAAGAAATTATGTAAGTATAGTATTTGGGCGCTGTGGTAGAACGAAAATGCACATTAGTTAAGTTTATTTTATATAACACGAATTCACATTCACTTGATTACCTGCCTTTATCGATTTTGGGTGAGATGAACCAAAGTCTAAGTGTGTGTTAGAATGTGTCAGTTTTCTATGGATGCTAGTATCTAACCAACTATCCTGTTTCTGACTAATTCTAACTCAAGAGTGAATGGGATTCCATCTACCACTGAGTTTATACGTGTGAAGAACTTAGGGACCTGTTCATATTTTAATACAGTGGATGTGTCATCCACATATCTTCGCTATCAGGATAAAACGTCCTAAGAGCTCGACGTTCTTAACCATCTGTAAATGTATCTGCAAGTATTAGAAGTATTGACGATTCCACCACCACCCTATTTGTTTGTTTGCATATTTGATTTTGGAATTTGAATACAGTGGAGGTTAGGTATAATTGTACACCCAGCATAATTTTATTGATATGGTGATGCGTAATAAACTGCGATCGGAAACCTGTCCAGTTATCAATGCCGTATCACTGTGAGTTATACAGCAAAATAAACTTATCTAGTATGGAATACAAGATTCAATCAATAATTTGTGTTACCATTTATTAAAAATAAATTTATCATAATGGAATTTGTTTAGCATGGCGTATAGATTACATTTAAAATTACTTTATTGATAAACATGTTAGATTCGTAATAACGGGAAATCAAGTCGTCAGCGTGAGTTAAGACTGACTGCGTTTTCCTTTCAAACACATGAAGAGAACCGAGACGTTTTATTCTAATAGACTCAGTAATTCGTGGAAGACTAAGGCCATTTTGTTTCTTTCAAATATTCTAGATCACTCTAAATCATCTGGTTGGTAGTTCAGGCCTGCCAGGTGTTAGAGATTGAACTGTCCAGATCATTAGGTTCGTTTAAATGAAGTCTCTCCGATATATGTAAACATTTAAATTATAATATAGGCTGTACACACCTGGAGAGAACTAAAACATAAATAAATTCATGTTTTTCTGCTGCAATGTTTGATACCACTACGTTCAGTTTTATACAGGCGAATACATGTACGTACTACTTTGCAGCGAAGTTTATTATGTGAAATAGTAAATTATACCTGGTTATGGGTAAGTGGCACAGTGGTAGAATGCTCGCCAACCACGCAGGTGGTCCGGGGTTTGATCTTCGGCTGACACACTTCTTTACCTTTCTAAGTCAGCAATAAGACTGGTAGAGAGTGAATTGGATAATATGCAAACACCAATTAGTACTATTGGCAGAAGTTTAATGGCGATTTCAGCTACGGCCATCCGTAAATGAAATCTTTATTCACAAGGAGTAAATTCCACAACTCAGCAAAGAAAATTTTCTTTATCGATCAAACCATCTTCCGAGGCTGTACAGTCGTATTTATTTTTGATAAAAATGTATATTAGTCTATTATGAGTAATATGGAGTGACATTATTTATATAATTACTCAGAAGTGGTTTTAGAAGTAAAAATAAAAGTTGTAAATTACGTAGTACTCAACTGCACAAAGGAAGAAAGGGTTAGAAATTTGATAAGGCTAAAATTTTTACTGAGTGAGAATAAAGGTAGTTGAGTGCCAATTTAACAAGTGTGAATAGGGTGAGAATATGTATAAAAAGGAACATATGAGAGTGATAATAGTGAACCAATTATTAAAGTAAAAGCAAACAAAAAGTAAAATAAAAAATGAGATTTTTTACAGGGAACGACTAGTGAAGAGGTTAAGACCAAGATAGAATAAGAGACTGAACAAACTGAGTTGGAGGTTGTATTGAAGGGTTGCCAACGTCTCCACCGTACACAAATGCCGAAACCTGACTCCCTTTGTACCGTTTGGCTTCATCTTGCAGGTAATCTTGAAAGACAGCTCTGGTGGAGCTACGTGGCTTGAGTTCACCAATCACTAGAGAATTGAGCTAATAACAGCCTTGCATTGTCCTTTTGCTGACCATACCAGATAATGTTCAGATATGTGTTTGGAAAGTGTGCGCTTTGTACGGCCAATATAACTGGCTCCACACGAGCAGGTGAATTTATAAACACACATTGAATTGGCCCCAAACCGCACTTTATCCTCCTTACATCCATCGATGATTTGTCGGCTGTAGAAATTGATCCGTAGCTCAGCCGCAAAGAAGGCTTTCCTCTGTGATCTGCATAAGCGATTCTTCAAGATCTCAGCTGCAGTATCACCTTTAAATTCAACACTCATAAAGAGCAGTTTCTTCGGCACAGTCTGGATTTTTTCAGGCTTTTCTCTTAACTTCATGTTTTTCTCGATGAATCTGGGAGGATATCCATTTTACACGAGTACTTGTCTGAGTCACTCCAGTTTCCCGTCGATTGTATCACTGGAACATATCCTTTTTATTCTTGAGGATAAGGAGTGGATCAGATTTCTCTCTCTTTTCAGAGGGACCCAACTATGAAAATTCGTGTATTGACCATTTCATGTTGGTTTTCTGTAGATCGATCTTTGAAGAGAATCAATCATCAAATCTCCTTTTTAGAAAAACATCTGAAAAATCGAATTCCGAGTTCATCTTTAATTCCAACGTGAACTTGATGGCATGATGGCAGCTGCTGAACTTCTTAGTTGTCATTTCGATGCCGGTGTCCTCGTCACATATGATGAAAGTATCATTCAAGTATCTTTGGTACATATGGAAATTATCGATAGTAAGTCGTAACATAATATCCTCCAGACTTGCTAAGTAAAGGACCCAATGGTGACCCCATTGCCACTCCATCAATTATGTCACTCACTATTACTCAATAATAGCCTACTATACATTTTTGGTAAATGTAAATACGACTGTACCGCCTCTGAAGATGATTTGATCGACAAAGAGAATTTTCTTCGGTGAACTGTCTTTTATTTTCTTCATGACTCAGTGGGTATTTTCAGTGACTAAATTGGAGTCTAGTGGCCACCAAATTCGTAAGGAGGTATTGTGAAGGTAATGGGTAATTTTGGTCATAGTGATTTGGAATGAGAATTTATCGAGAAAGCTAAACAGGCTTGCGAATAATTAAATGTATAGGATTGCCTTACCATTATTATGCTACTGGACAACAGTTAGCAATATACAAAACACTTAAATTTCAAAAAGTAGAACTAAAAGCTAATTCCATGTGGCTTCCGAAAATCTTCAGTCACTAAGGTGCATTTGGAATGTGATAATCCATACTCAATATCCTAAAACTTCTCGCATTTCACAATGAATGAAAAACAAGAGAATATTGTTCATGCTGACATTTCGCGACTTAATGCTAATAGCTCTGTCAAAGTATCATCCAACCAGAATTTGCCAAATCTCAGCTTATATATGATGAATTAATCATCGCTTGTGCGTCGGTGGTATAGCGGTTACGACGCTCGCCGACCATGCACATGGTTCGGGGTTGGATCCCCGGCCGACGCACTCCTTTACCTCACTGAGCCCGAAATAATGCTGGTAAAGAGGAAAGGTGGGTATGAGGCTAGTAACCCAAACCTGTAAAATAAATGCTGCTACAAAAACTTCAAGACGCTAGCTTGAAGTCCTATGTTCCACTGGGGGACGTGAAGGAAAAAAGAAATCATCGTTCTCCAGTATCAGGTGACTTTTGTGTCGTCAAGTTGGTGAATTGTAGAAGATAACAAAACCATGTGTGGATTGTTGGATTTGACAAGCGTATGAAATTATAAAAACAGCATGTGTCTACATAACGAAATAGCTTATTACCTTTGTGTCGATTTTGTCACTTCATGAGAAGGAGGGGGTGTTGAGACCAGACGGAATTGTGTCTCAGCCAATCACTCCTATTTGGATAATCTGGGTTCCACTTAATATGTAGTGCTTCTGATATTAGAAGTTTTTCTGGATGATTCCAGTGTTGTCAGTATCGATTTGGTGGCCTAACTCTGCAGCGCGTAGATCTATGACTGATAGCTTATCAAGCTTTTCTAGTTCAATCATATATTCATAAGGTCACAAAAAGAAGACAAATACAGAGATTCTTGAAGCCGGGAGAAAGAAAGTAATCACAGAAAAACTCAAAAAGTGATTTTAAAAATATTTTATTCATCATATATTTTATTTTATCATGGCTGTATTCCATGCAGCTATGGAGTTTTCAGCATATGATATTGGTAACCCAAATTTAGCAGGTCGACCATTGATATCAAGTGTGCATCGGCCGGCTATCTAACCCCGGACCATGGTTGGCGAGCGTCCTAACTGTTGTGCCACCGACGCACAAAATATATACAAAATATTTCAGGAAAGATACTAACTGAAAATGAAATCGCATTATTACGAGTTGTGAATTTCAATACCAATAGAAAGCCATCATCGATTCGAGAAATAGCACTTATGGTTGAACGTGTTCTACATCTGATCTTTAAATATTCCCATTTATAATATTAGAACAAGACATATAAGCGAACAATATTGTTTTCAATTAGATCTTCTTCAGGCTTTACTCTAATTTACATAGACTTATATATATAAAATTTTAACCAATGACGGTGATTTAGTGGATCAAATAATAATCGTAATCATAATAATAATAATAATAATAATCATAATAATAATAATAATAGTAATAATATTGTGGTAAATGTTTTGAACGAAGTTAATAGCGATGATTATAATAATAACAAAATATTGTTAATAAGGCTTATATAGGTGATAAGAATAAAAAAGTTAGTATATGCATATATGTAGACAATTCAATAAATAAATAAATTAGGTCAATTTGAACAAGGCATTAAGAAGACAAATTTCGCGAGATGATATCATTTCGTAGTTTCTTTACAACCGCTTTACAACTAACATGGTTAACAATGATAAAATAAAGTTCATGAAATTTACTCAGTTAAATAGAAACAAAAGTACATACTAATGACCAATCATATTAAGATAGGTCATGCAGTCCAGGGTAGGCGAAGATTGAAGTCTATTGATTTTTGTACACACAGTTTAGGCTGTATGTGATTAATCCAAAGTGCTTCCATCACCTTCAATAACCTTGAATTAGAGTTATGTGAAATAATTGTGAAACAGTCAATAAAATTTATTTTGTGACCAGACATTAATAAGTGTTTTGCAATGGATGATGCTGGATTTCTATTAAGATTAATCGCGTTGGGATTTTCGATATGGTTTACTAGCCATTTTGGAATATGTTCTTTTCGACGACATTGGAACATTCTGTTAGTTCTACCTATATAGGTGTCACCGCAGCTGCAGGTGAACTTGTAGATACAGTTTGAAGTAGAGTCCACAGAATTTCGTCCTTTAATCGTAGGAACAGGGATCGAAAATGTTCGGCAAGTGAGAAAAAGAGATGCGGCGTAGAATGTGCGTTTGATGGCTGATCGAAGTCTTTGAGTTGTCAACTGCATAATCTGGTCGCCCTTGAATGGTAGATTAATAAAGATGGCTTTCTTTGGTACAGAAGCTGTCTTTTCGAGATGTGGTTTTTCTTTGCTGTGACAAGTGATAAAGCTCTCCGGATAACCATTAGCTAATAAAACTGAATGTACATGTCGAAGCTCATCCATCAGTGTGTCATTCGTGCATATTTTTCGGGCCCTTGAGAACAAACATTTCACTAGGGAACGTTTATACTGGATAGGAACAAAACTGGTAAAATGAAGATATTGTCCAGTCCATGTTTGTTTAAGAAAAATAGAGCGCTGAATCGTTCCATCATTTCTCCTAGTCATAGTAATATCCAGGAAACCGAGTTTGTTATTCGATTCTAGTTCGGAAGTCACTCGAATATTTGGATGAATATGATTAAATAGAGTAATGAAGTTTTCAATAGATTCACTATTATTACCAATAATAAGAGTATCATCTACATAACGTTTATACAGCATAAATCCTCCAAGCATACCTTGCATTTGTTTCTCTAATTTCGACATAAATATATCTGCTAACAGGGGCCCCAGAGGGCTCCCCATCGCAACACCATCGATTTGTTTATATGCCTTTTCTTGGAATGTGAATCTAATATTTTCTGTACACATTAAGATTATGTCTTTGATGTAAGTGACGGGAATGGGTAAGTTTATGCCATTGCTTGTGATGTAATCGCAAATAAAATCAACAGTTTCATGAAGGGGAACATTGCTGAATAAAGATTTTATGTCAATTGAACACATAACCTTTTCCTTAATGTTCAAGGTGTCCAGCATTTCTGTAAGATCAAATGAACTTTTTACAGAATGATTTGATAATGAGTCTCTTACAGGCGTAAGGACCTCTGTAATCCATTTGGCGATTTTATGATAAGGAGAATTTGACATGTCTAAGATGGGTCTCAGTGGGTTCCCAGTTTTGTGGATCTTCGGAAGACCATAAAGCTGAGGAGTATGTGACCCAATTGGTTTAAGTTGTTTATAAAGTTTCTCATTTATAAAACCATGCATCAGTAAAATCTGAAGCTGTCGATTGATCTGCTTTTCCACAAGCAGCACGTTATCAGTAGCATTGTGAATGTTTCAAGGTCATTGCCCCGGTCCCACTCCATTGGCAGTTGGTAGTCCTTAAATTTCTAATTTATTATTTTATTTTATTATTACTATTTTAAAGCCACCCTCGGTAGCCTACAACACGTATTAGTCGCAGAGTTTATGCAAGGGAAAATTTGCCAATCACAATGCATGTAAGTGACCTTCAAGTGATCAGCCCCTCCCACAAGGCATTTATCCGCGGTCCTCTGGCGTGGTTGAGAAGACAGCATACCAGATTTCAGGTCAGGGTGACTTCCTGTGTCTGCTGTCTGTATGTTTCGGTGAATTCGTTTGCCATTGGAATTTAAAGGTTTTTTCGACGTTTTGCATATTTTTAACGTGTCAACGTCAATTTGTCACTAGATGTTATAGCATAATATTCTCTATAGAATACTCTAAAGCCTATTTTTACTTTAAAGTTCACAGTTATTAAGTTAGTGGTTAAGGATTCTGGTAAACCTGCAATCACTATACTAATTTGAATTTGCTAGGCTAAGATAGTAAACTGTTCATAACACAAAATGCAGTCGTAGTCTGCTAACGATAAGCTTAGGATAACACTGAATTCAATCTCGATAATTCTGACCTAACTCTAACATTGCTTAGTGGATAAATTCTGGACCATCCTGAAATTGTTTGATTGTTTGCACAAACTGGAATTGCGTTCTGGTTTTCAGCGTAACTGGCTATATGCTAGGACTACCAATACCACATCTGGCACAGCTGTTATGTGATGATAAATCCGATAGATATGACACGATCAGCTTACTGCGGTGCTCAAACAAATAGTCCCATTACCTTTTGTTTTCCTTTCTTTGTTACTATTACACTGTTGTTAACATCTATTACACACTAATTTTATGTTTCATATCCTGTGGTGCATTGTTTAAAATGTAAACGCAACGCTGTTCTTCTTATTTTTTTTATTTATATTCTTTTTGGGTGTTGCTTTTTTGATTTAAAAATCTTATAGAATTCGTGAGGTAATTAGACGCAATATTGTAATGCACGCTGAAAATTCCATACCTGTACCACAAATACTGTTTGGAATAAAGCTGTTATTATTATTAATTCAGCACCCTGTTCTTCTAGGCATTTTCAGAAGTAGCTCAGACCCTATTGTGCTTGCTTATCAGCCTGACTTCGGTCCTTTTGGCCCAGATTCAGCGTCCAGTGCCCATTTGTAAGAACGACCAGCATTATTTCAGTACACTCGGTTCACTTTAGGTAGCTGAAATACTTACCATGGGAAGCCATTATTCCTGTGTAGGTTGGAATCAGTTTAGCATTGTTGTAGGATTGGGCCTTAAAGCGTTGCTACAGTATAAGTGATAGATCCCATGCTGTGAACCAGTAATCGCCGTTGGTAAAGAGCAGCTAATACGACACAGATGTGTGTAATTTCTAACTGGCATCCAAAGTGCTTTCATCACAAAACAATCAACCAAAGTCTTTTAAACTGTCACTCTTAGGCATGTGAACAGAAAGGAAGTATAACAACAGTTTAAACGTGCATGTTCATATTATGAACACACACGGAAAGAATTAGCTAATACTAACATTTTCACTTTTTTATTTTCATAGTCTCCACCTACACCCCAACAGACTGCAGTTCGGATGAACTAAAGGACAATTTCTACCTGAAACTGTCTAATTTGCTGCAAAATGCAAAACGTTCAGATTAAGCCGTTTTAGCAGGTGACTTCAATGGCATAGTAGGGAAGTTGTGCCAGACTGCGAAATATATAGATGGTACGTATGGAGTACCCCGCTGACGAGCCCACGACAGTGGTCGTCTTCAACAGTTCTGTTCAGATAATAATCTGTTCATAGTCAGCACTAATTTTAGGCACAAAGAGAGAAATTGCCTAACCCTGTGGCCTCTATCATCAAGTCAACGTTGGACTCAGATAGACCATATGGCGACAGGGTATCGTTGGTGAGGGTCAGTAGAAGACTGCCGCTCCTTCTGGAACACGCGCGTAGAATCCCATCACGCCCAGGTCCGCGCGGTCCGTTTATGCTTGCATCTAAACGGGCATAAAAAATTATTCGCAGCGAACCAGTCACGTCCCCAACTAGATCGAGACACTGAGTCCCTATTTGAAGAGAAAATAGCGAAACGTGTATCTGAGGTCGACCGCAGGACTGCTCCTGTAAAAGCCTGGCACAACATTCAGTTAGCTGTAGACACAGCTGTCAAAGCTGGTAATAACCTGAAACCAAAAGTCAGTAAGAGCCAATGGATTTCTACCGCCTCATCGTAACTGATTAACGCAAGACGACTGACTCCGGCGAGCTTCGAATATGACGAAGAGTGAAAGCTACTCAAACACAAACTAACAGGAAGCCTTCGCAACGACCGTGAAGAGTAGTGGCCGACATAAGCGTTAACTAAGGTACTAGGCAGCGTCTGGGAATGAGAGATAGTCCAGTGTGGGTGGTGTAAGTCGTTGATTATCTCGATATAGAGGAAGGGAGACAAGTCTCCCTGTGGTAATCACAGTAGAATTAGCTTGATCAATATGGTATCTAACGTTCTAGGTTCAATAATAATGTGTAGATGAGAGAACTAGGCAGGCTCCAGACCAGGAGGAAGGTGCACCGATCATATCTTCACCCTTCGACAGATTCTGGAACGGAACATAGGCATACTTACCGGCGTCCAACAATCGTGATATTTCTTGACTTGAAAGTTACATTCGACTTCGTCGACCGAGATGTACTCTGACAATGTTTGGCTGTAAAGGTAATGGCGAGGAAATACATTGCACTGATCAGGGCACTCTACTCGAGCTCATGTAGCCAGTCAGGTGAGAGCCTACGGCGAGTTGTCATTTGAAGTGATGTCTATCAGCGAGTGATGCCTACTGTCCCCATTTCTGTTTAATTTCGTCATAGATGTACTAAAGGACTTAACGCTAACTGGCGACCTCAGCGACTCACGGATTGACTTGTTACCAGGGGATAATCTCTTTGACTTAGAGCATGCAGATGATATAGTTCTTCTAGGTGAGGACACTGACAAGATGCAGAGTCTTCTGAACACCTTGAGGAGCAGCAGTCTTCGAATGTTTGGCACGCGATTCGCTCCCGTCAAATGTAAGATGATGCTACAGGACTGGACTACATTGACTCACACCTAGCTTAGAAATAGGGAGTGAAGTGATAGAGAGTGTTGACCACTTCACTTGCTTGGGGAGTTGCATCAGCCCCAACGGGTTGATCGCTGACGAAATCTCAGCGCGGATACGGGAGGCTCGTTTAGCATACGCCAAATTATGCCATCTCTGGCTCAGCAGACGTGATATCCAGGTGTCGAGCATAAGACGTGTGTACTGCTCAGCAGTTCGCTCTGTCCTCCTTTATGGCTAGTTGTGAGACATGGTCATTGAAATTGGAAGATACGAAAAGACTAGCTAGCTGTCTTTAATCATAGGTGCCTGCGTTCTACTTCCCGTATGAAGTGGTATAATAGGGAAAGCAATATTGAGGTTAGGTGTCGAGTGCTAGGTAAGGAGCGGAAGTCAGTCGGCGAGGTTGTGAAGCAGTTACACCGATGGGGATGCTTAGGACATGTGGTATGGATGCATTTCTAACCATCGCCTTCCTCGACGGGCAATGTTAGCTGACATGGAGTCAGGCTGGACAAGGGCTAGTGGTGGTCAAACCAAAACATGGATTTGTTAGTCAATGAAATCAACAACAGTTAGCTTAAGTCACGTAGGAAGGTATAGACTTCCTGGTTGGGATCCTTGAGACGGCAAAAACCAATGGCTGGTGACAATCGGTGACATGGCTCAAAATTGTTCTCAGTGGCGCAGATGCATCCACTCCTTGTGAGTTATGATACCCAATGAAAGTATATTGTTCCTCCATATAACTGTTCGTTTTGCCTCATATTTCTGTTTATTATCTCTCCTTCGAATCTGGCTTTACTCTATTCTTTTGCTTTGCGTGCTACATGATGTGCGTGTGGCAACTCGAACTGGTGCACATCTATGCAAATTTTCTACGTTGAAACCGGTCAGTCAGTGAGTTCCGTTGGTTATTGTTTAGTTGCGCGATATGGTTATGGCAACTCGTCAAGCCAGAAATATTCTGTAGTATTTGTGCAATATCCGGAAAGTATGGCTGTGATAGCTGACATAATAGTAGCTATTATTTTTTTTCTGGTTTCCAATTAAAATGTTGGGCTGTAGCAGCAAATTTCAATCCTCTGTCATCATTTCTCCTGATCCTACAACTGTCCACAAGCTGTCACGATCTTTTCAATGTTACCGTCTGATGCACTCGCAACCATTTACTTCCCATTTCGGCCTGACTTGAGTGTGATATCACTCATTGGTCTCCTCGGCGTGTAGGTAGTTCATCTCGATTTCATTCTGTATGTTTGTTGAACAATAGGTTCCTGGCTGGATAGGTCTCTGCCGGAGTTCTTTGTTGTCTATCCTATAGGGTTGGCAGTTTGATCTACAGTATCTAGCCAGAGAAGTAGCTGTTGATGAAAGTCTGCAGTAGGCTGTCACGAATGCTTTTCGTGACTCACGCGCCTAGTCTCTGGACCATATGATAGCACTAACTTGACATCAGTGTTGAAAATTCGGGTCTTGTGTTTTAAGCTGGGTGCTGTAGGTCTCCACAATGATTTCAGAATTATGAATGCTTTTCTAGTTCCATCCATTCTGACTACCTTTGACATTGTCATCTATGCCACCTGTAGATGGAATGATGCAGCCCAGATAAATGAAAGAGAAGATTTGCTGTAGAAATCTCCCGTCAAGAATGACTGCTGTTCGTTGTCTTCACATCTGTCTTCATTGAGTTCAGCTGAATTTCTGTCTTCGCTGCCTCTTCTGACAACTTGCATGTACCCGTAAATTGACAGCTGCACAAATAAGCTGACAGAGTAATTTACGCATTGCATGTCTGTCTGTCTGATCATTCTCACAAATAATCATAATTTTAATGCTAAAGGGAGGTAGCGAGCTAGACGTTATGCATGTAATCCTACATCTGTGAATAGACGGCGGTGATGGTATCTAACGTTTTCACTCAAATTACTCTCTTGTTCTGGTTATAACTAATTTTATTGATGAAGTGTAACGTCGTCTCATTGGATGATCTCTCGTGGATCTCTTATCTATGAGTTGTCAATGAAAAGTGTCGAAAGAACGCTGTTTGGAACACTTGTACGGACTTGTAGGGGACTAATATTAGAGTTCACTAACATTCCAAATATAAAAGTAATAATCCAAGTCAGTGGAGTGTTAAACCACAATATATTACCAAAAATACAGTGACGAGTTATAGCAACAAAAAGGATTACTTGGTTATACAGTATAAGTCCTCGGCTACAAATTAATTATATAATCCACAGGCACGTTAACTGTTTGGACTGCGTCTGCTGTAGCTGCTGTGTTCCGGTTGTAGAAATGTCTTCGGTTGAAAGTAGTAGGCTCCTACAATAAATCCGAAGTATACAACAAGGTGTGAGTGGAGCAAGTAAGCAGAAGGGACCAGGGAGAAGACGAAGTCTCCAACAGCAGAGTGTATTTTTCAATTGTACACGGAAGTTATGTATATTTCAACAAGAAGCGTTTTAAACAAAAATTATGTACAATATCTCGAATTTATACAAGTAACCAAAAAGTGTACAATCACATTGTTACGTACTCAACAGACTACAACAATGCATTATTCGTTGTGTGTGTGTCTGTATCTGATCGGGCATGAAAAACAAGCAGCTGAAAAACCTCTAAGTGGGAAGATAACCAAAGATTTCTTGCATATGACAGTAATCCTGGTGCTGACAAAGCCTGTCAATCAATTCTGCTGTGGTAACAGTAGTGAAGATTGGTAATGACCTGTAGCCAGTCGTTAGTAAATGCCAGGGGTTTTATCGATTATATATGATTTAACCGATGCAAGCAGATTGATACTAGCAGGCTCCTAACATGACAAATAACGAGAGATGCTCAGACGCAGGCTGACTAAAAATTCCCTCAGCGATCTCCCGTAGTAGTGGAGAACGAAGGCGAGAGAAATTAGAAAGTCGTCAGTAATAGGTTATACCTGCAGTATATCTAGGCCTTTTAAGGAAACGAGCTCCAAAAAATCTGTGATAGGTGAGATAGTTTTCAAGATGAATAGAACTTTCGTAATTTATCACTAATTACAGCTGAAACGTTAATAAATCAGTTATTCAATCAAATGATTTGACTATCTAGATGTTTCCATTATGGGTAAATTTTGTTTTGATAAAGTCTCACAGTGTTATACAGTAATGTTTACTGTATATCAGTAAACATTACTGTATAACACTGTGAGACTTTATCAAAACAAAATTTACCCATAATGGAATTACACTCTACCACAGTGCACAAGTTTTATTCTTATATCTAGATGTTTACTGAAAGAAGAGACAGACTGGTGAATTTCAGTTGAGTACAGATAACAGAATGTTTTTTAAACGCAAAGTGTTAGCATATCCGTACTTTATAATGAAAGTATTTACTTTTTCGTAAGATCATTCAAGATTCTTTAGTACTACCTGACTGAATTGTCAAGGTAGGACATCTCACAAAAATGCATCAGCTCAGTTCTTCACACTTCGAAGAAGCACATATAAAAGTGGAGAAGTGAAAAGTAACAGAAATACAGTTGACGAAATTGCACAAGAAAAAGAATAATTGGACAAGGATTAGCGCGAAGCTTCAGAACACCAATGTTGATGAGTAGTGAATACGTGTATGGTGTTGAAAACGGTTTTTAGTCAAACCATTGAATCTTCACCTCATGTTCCTTAGCATCCTGATTACCCCAGTCGAGTGGATGAGGTTAAAAGTG